GTCTCATTCACAATGTGATTTCGAACATTATCTTCAACCCATTGTCTAATATAGCCACAAACCTGCAAGTGCTCAAATTCCCATTCCTCATCCGTCATGGATTGGGGTTTATTAGAGGTAAACACAGGTAAATGCATTTTTTTGACAAATAGAAGATCTTTCATCTTGCCTCTCCAAATATGATAGTTACTACCATTCAAACAAACCATCTTGCTCATATTTGCCTCCATAATTCAAATCAATAATGAACAACAACCAATGCTCTGATACCACTTTGTTGGGAAAGACAAGGCACTACCAAAAATGCCAGATATGATAGCAGCGGAATAATACCCAAATCTAAACTTTCCCTTTCAATTTGAACCAAGAGAAGACAAACCAATCAAGCAATATGAAGAATGGACAGCAAGTATATCAATCAAACTAAATCAACAAGATAAGAATAACCCAATCACACAAGACACAACGATTTACGTGGAAAACCCTTCGATGTGAAGAGTAAAAAACCACAGGACCAAAAGCTCCACTATAAACACCAAGAGTTACAAAATTGTTCTCCAAAATTGGCCACAAAACAAGTGCCAAACAACGAGCAACAACAAATCAAGATTGCACCAAAACTAGAGAATTAAAGAAGAGATTTCACCCAAAACGCGCTACTGTTCACCCCCAAAATCAGAAGCTACAGACCTCCAAATCCGATCTCCACCGTTGAATTGCAAGAACCAGATGCTGAGAACTCCCAGTTCAAATTTGAGCACGATCCAACGGTTAACGAAGCGTCAAACTCTGTCTGAAGCGGACTGCCTGAGCAGAAAATTTCCAGAAGCAAAAACGGGATTTTCTCTTTTTCTCTCAATCTCTAAAACGAAACTCTCTTGATTTTTCTCTCTTGTGTATCTGAAAAATAAGACCAAATAGGCCTTATATATGCCACATAATATTTTGGGTTATGGGCTAAAATGGGCTAGTCCTAATAAGACTTTTATTTATCCACATAGGAAGGGAAAAAAAGATCCTAAACCCAACAATGGAAAGACCGTAGATGTGATTGTACGTATGTGCAATTTCTTCACCGGCTTTCTTTGTGGCGGCGTATAGACTCGCTGGTTGATCCGTTTGATCTTTTTCTGAGAAGGGTACTTTGGAATTGAGCCCATAAACAGAGCTGGATGATGCCCAAACAATTGAAGGTTGTGGGTTAGCGGATTTGCAGGCCTCGAAAAGGGTAACGAGGCCTGCAATGTTGCTATGGATGTAAGAACCAGGATTCTTCATTGCGTAACGAACGCCGGCCTGTGCAGCTAAGTGCATTACATGGGTAAATTCAACAATGTCGAAAAGCTTTTTCAGAAGCTTTTCGTCATTGATATCACCTTCAATGACGAAAACCCCTTTCTGCTCCAACAATTTCTGACGGGCCCTTTTCAACGATGGGTCATAATAGCTGTTGAAATTATCTAATCCAACAACGCCATCACCACGGCGTTTGAGTGCGGCGGAGACATGAGACCCAACGAAACCGGCGGCGCCGGTAACAAGAACGGATAAATGACCGGAACGTGAACGGGCAGATAATCTGACACGCTTTTCCCATTGTGGGGTATTATTACTACTACCCCATTTCATAGTTGCAGAATGAGATGGAGGAGAAGAACGGAAACATAAGAAAAGAAGGGTACCTGCAAAAATGGTTGCCCAGAAAACAAGCTTGGTAATGGAATATGTCCATCTCCGGTGCTTGTCCATATTGATTGATTGATTAATGGCTGGTTAAATTTGCAGTAAAACTACATGGAGAAGAAGAAATGCATTCATTCTCAAAGACCGTAAAATGTGGCGGCTATACAAAACAAGAAACTAGGTTTGTGTAGAACTATTTTTGGGTTTGGATGGGTAAAAGTATGAGCTATAATATAGGAATGAATACATATAGGAATATGAAAGAGAACAACAGAAACAGAGAAAGAGAAGGAAAAAGGAATTTGGGATAAAGAGGGAATCGTGTGCAATGAAATGAGTCAAAAGAAAAAGAAACGATTTATGTAAATTTGAGGGGGGAAAAAGAAAAGAATAAGAGAGAAGAAGAAGAGGTTGTTACGGAGAAGAGGTTGGATAATAGATTTAAAAAATGAAAAAGAATAAATCGAATCAATAATACATAGAATCGAATTGAACCGTACGATGCACACCCCTGCAAGTAGGTTTGTGTTGATTTCTTCTGGATTTGGATGGGTAAGTAATTGATATATATATATGTATTCTTGAAAAGCGGGTCAAGATGTGAAAGAGGATAACATAAAGAGAGAGAGGGGAGAGGAATATGAAATAAAGAGGGAATTATGTGCAATGAAATGAGTCAAGAAGAAGAAAAGGCTTGTGTAAATGTACGGAAAAAAGAGAAGAGGAAGGAAGATGAGGAGAGGGAAACCATTGTGGACTCGTATGGAGTTTGGCCTCAAAACAGACACTTTTTTGACATTATATTCTAATAGGAATCCTTCGTAAAAACACATATTAAAACGAATATTTTGCTCACAAATGGACGAACTGTCCCCCTTAGGCCCTTACCATTAACTCTATCCATTCCAACTCAAATTACATCACAAATATTCTAAGGGCAAATTTCAATTCCTTTATAACATTTTCTTAACTTTTCATGTATATCTCTTTCTTTAACAATAAATATATGTTTTTATCCACTTCACGCTTTCTCACTCATCTTCTATTATGTGTTAGTCTAAACTATGTTATTTGGAATTCAAGCCTATTAGACTCTATTGCTTCTTATACATGCTAAGGTGCTTAAGATGATTGGTGCCTATTGGAGAAGCTATACATGGTCAGGGACAAATGAGCCCACAAGGAAGTCATTAGTGGCTTGGTCCAGAATCTGTTTACCAAAACCATCTTGAGGCTCAACTTAATGAGTTTTCAGCAATAGACCAAAGCCCAAAACCTGCTGGAATTTGTCAAAGAAAAATGACAAGACTCTGGGTCAATATTGTTATTAAGAAGTTGTTAAAACTCAATTTTGTCTATATACAGTAAAACTTCACTAAATCAATACTTGGTAAAATAATAATTTCTCTAAGATAATATTTTTCTCATGTTCAGATTTGGGCCAATCGAAAAAATTACTCATTTCGATAAGCTAATAAAATAATATACTTTCAGAAGAACCCTATATAAATATATGGTCCCATTAATATTATAAATTAATAATTCTTTAAAAGCACAAATATATTTAAGACAACTTAGTGAAATATGATTATATTGTGTTTGTTTTTTGTTAAAATTTAAATCTAGTGAAAACTCAATATATCTAATTTTTCTTATTGCATCCAAAAGTTCCAGTGTGAAGAATTATAGATGTGATAAGTGTTTCCTTACGCGTAATTGGTTTCAAAGGTATTGTATCATCTTCAACTTCACCATCATCATTGTTTTTTCCGATGGTATCCACAATTTCTTCTAAGCTTTGTATCCCTTAACATGCATAATTTTGATGTATTCATTGTACTTTATGTATAATAAATTTATTTTTTATGTGAATTCAATAATTATGATAAATAAATTAGTAAGATACAATTATTTTGATGTAATCAAAATTAACCTTCATTGAATTTCAAAATACTCTTTAAATTACTCATTTTGTCCCTAATTACTTGTCCACTTTTCCTTTTATAGTTGTCCCTAATTACTTGTCCATTTTGACAAATCAAGAAAGGACAAAAATATTTTACCTATTATACCCTCAATTAATTATTTTAGAAAATGTAGAACTTCTTGAAAATCTTAAGTTTTTAATTCATCTACTTCATAATTAATAGGGATAAAACGATATACTCTCTATGTCAATTATTGTTTTCTTAATAGATGTGTCAATTCAAAAGTGGACAAGTAATTAGGGACATAGAGAGTATTGTCTCTATTAATTTAGTGAGATTTTATTGTATATATGTGTTGATTCTTTATTTTATTCTACAACTATAAATGAGAGTCCTTTCTAACTTGTCACATATCATAAACTACAAAAGAAACAACAAATTTTCATCAAGTACAGAAGGGTTTAAATTATCCTCTACAATTTCAAGTAGTGGTGGAGCTACAGTTAACAACCTTTATTGTAGCCTAGTGGTTTCTGGCGAGTTGAAATTTTTAACTCCGCCACTGACATTAGTCAAGTTTTAGTTCATTGTGTTCGAACTAAAACATCAATTTATATCCATAATTACAGGCTATTAGAACATTAATTTACCAGAAATCATAGGACAATTGAATTTCTTAACGAGTTTATTGGAATTGGGCTTTCGGGCCATCAAATCAGAAGTCTACCTAAATGCACCATTTCCCTGCTAATTTGCACTTCTAGTCATATTTTATGGTGCTCTTTAATTTATGTTCCTCGTGACAAATAATTTTTTTATAGTGTATAAGTTCATATTTTTATATCATAATATACGTAAGTTATGTTTGGGCACCATTTGCACTTCTATTCATATTTTGTGGTGCTTTTTAATTTATGTCTCTCGTAACAAATAATTTTTTTATGACATATGAGTTGATATTTTCGTATCATTTATGTCTGGGAATGACTCCAATTTTTAAAGAACTTATTCCCCACTAAACATAAATTCGATGAAGAAAAGACCAAACATTAAAAGTCAGTCTACTTAAAAATAAAAATTAAAATCAACTTATTTGAAGATCAATATCGTACAATTTTAAGCCATTCTCCTTTTTCCAATCCCTTTTTGGCTAAGTAATTAACTAGTTGCAAAGGCTGCAGGCTTTGTGAGAATTTTGGCCATAGAAAGTGAGTTTTTGTATTAATTTCGTTAGTTTTTCCTTTTAATATCTTCTATTCCCTTTTCAGAGATTTTGCTGTTGGATTCATGATTGGTATACACACACAATATACACACATTGTTTATTGAATGCAGTTATATTTTATTGATTTTTAGTTGGGTTTGCATACATATAATATATATACATCTTGTGATAAATTTATCTAACAAATTTATATATATTTGCTTGTATTGATAATCTTTGGTCCATATTACCTAATAAATTACTCATATACATTTGTATTAATATATATTGCTCCATATTCACCTAATAAATTTGTATTTATATATAAAGAAATTCAATGCTTTGGTAAAACAGAAAAGTCTTTTAACTAATACATACTCCAAACAAAATAAAATAATAGATCCTTATTTTTAGGAATATCTAGTAGCTGACATTAGAGCTGTCAATATGGGTTGGCCCATCCCATCCGGGCTAACCCATATAGGCTTTGCAATGTGATGGGTTAGGCCGGGCTAGCCCATTTTTTTATATGGGCCAGAATATGGTCGGCCCAGCCCACAAGTGCGTGGGCTACGGGCTTTGCCGGGCCAACCCTTTTTTCTTAAAAGTTTATTTTTTATAATTTTTTAAATTAAATTATACTTTAAAAATATTGTCATAAATATCGACTAGTGTTACTACTTGTTAATCATATACACAAATAAAATTATCTATATAATATTTATTAAGTTTGATTTCAAGTAAAAACATAAAGCTCTAAATAGAAATATTAACCTAATTATTTTCCAATGATCATAATAAAACACAAAAACTATGATAATATTCCATAGGCTATGGCCTATGTAGTGATTTCCTAGAAATTTTAGGAACTTTATTTTATGTAGTACATATTTTATAAACATAATTTGTATTTAAATTGCAATATTTTAAACTTTAAACAGATTTTGAGTGTAGACTCCTGTTATTTTTAATACTCTATTTTATTTTTATTTTTTAATTAATTTTATTTGGCCCACGGACCGGCCCTATCCATATTTCTCAAGCCCCACAAATCGACAGGCTTATTCAGGCCAGGCTAAAAAGCTCTTTTCTTAAATGGGCTCCAAAAATCGTAACCCAGCCCTATCAAATCACGAGCGAGGCCAGGCCGGCCCAACGGGCCTACCCCATATTGACAGCTCTAGCTGCATAAGAGAAACAAATAATTAAGTACCTAATTTTAGGAATATCTAACAACAAAATAAGGTAAGAAAAAATGAATTCTTAATTTTAAAAATACAATAACGTAAAAAAAAAATAGAACGAGATATTCTCTCCCCTTTCTATTTCCAAGGAAAATAAACGGATAAATTTGTCTAGCCAATGCAAATTCTCTTAGGCTTAAAATTTATTAAATACTTTTAGGTTAAAAAAATATCAATTCTATATAAAACTTGTACCTACATATCAATCACTCTTAATTAAAATGTCTTTAGTTGCATCTCAAGTTGGTAGTAGGGTTGGGCATGGTATGGTATATACTGAAATATCATATCATATCAAAAATTTTATTAACGTAGTTTTGATATTATGGTATTTGGTGTGGTATATGATATATATTTTAACTTTTTTTGGTATTCGATACGGTATTTGGGATTTAGATATAACATACTGAAATATCGAATACCATACCGAAGTATATAGTTACATAAATAATATATACATTATTAAAATACTAACAAATATGCAACCAAGTATTAGTATATTTAGTTTAGAAGTTAAAACTTTGACTACTCTATTTTGATTGGAATGTATTTGAATTCTAATTGATTAACAAAAGGAGTTGTTTGTACTTTGTTTTGCATATATATTTCTACATGTGTAAAGTGTTGGTATGATACAATTGAGACCTTTTTTTAGTTGTCGTAGTCATAATACTCTATTATACGAGAATATATTAGTCGAAGTTAAACAAATTATGGTTACCGATTTACCATACCGTAAATATCGAAACCGAACTTCAGTATACCAAACCATACCGAATTAAATTGATATGATAATGGTATAACTTTTTAAAAACCGAATACTGAAATTACGGTATCAAAACTTTCAAATACCGTACCGTATCATACCATGCCCACCTCTAGTTGGTAGGCAATGTAATGACAAAGTCTTAACAAATTACTTGACCAAGGTTGTGGTGTAATAATGAAACTGTTTCGTCATTAACCAAATGTATAGGGTTCGAGCTTTGAATATGAAAAAACTCTGTTGAAAGCGTCACCTTCAGATGAATACTTTAAAGAATAATCAAAATTTTATTGATGCTCTTTTACAAGCTCCGAACACCAGATATAAAAAAAAAACAAATTATTTGGAAAATAGAGTGCCAATTGGGGTCATATCTGAGTGACCTATAAAAAAAAGAGTAGTGGGCCATTAGAGGAGAAAAGGATAGCTAACATCAATATATCATTCCTAAATTTGAGGTTGATTTCTTTTGCGATCTTTGCAATCATCACCACTTCATTTCATTACCCAAACTTTTGTTAAAAATATCACCCACCCCAATAGTAGTAGTAGTAATTTTAGAAATAGGGTGATTTAATATGTTTGGTAGGAGGAAAAATACTCTACTTATTTTTTAGTATTTGATAAGTTAATATAAAAAATATTAT